GACTTGCTAGGTTACAACATTTGGTGCTATCAAATTTTCCCAAGTTGATGGAAACATGGCATATCAAGAATCCTCAAGAACTCTTAGATTTTAGACAACTTGGGGTGCTAGAAATTTGTAATTGTAGCAAGTTCAGGTACCTCTTAACACGTTCAATGGCCCTGGGCCTTGTGCATCTCTTGCAGTTAATAGTAAAAAATTGTGTGACAATGGAACAAGTGATAATGGGAGAAGAAGCAGAAAATAAAATAGAATTCCCACATCTTGGGTCGATCAATGTAGAGAGTTGTTCGGATCTGTTAAGTTTCTATGTGGGAAGTCATAGTCTTGAGCTTCCAAGATTAGTTGATTTATTGTTAAGGACTGCCCAAAGATGGTCACATTTGGTAATTCAACATCCCTTGAAGGGCACGACAAAGAGGAATCCTTATGCCTCTTCAGCAGCAAGGTCAGTTGCTTTTCTTCATTTCATTTTTCCATTTTTTTTTTATAGCAACGTAGTTAGTTTTTTATATTTATTTATTGTAATTAAGATTTTACAACAAATTTATCTTTGCTTTTCACATGTCAATGTTATCAACCCCACTTTAGCTTCTTGAATGAATCTCCTTAAGCAAGTTCTACTTAATAAACGGTTAAAAAATAAAGACTCTTGGCTGGTACATCATCACTTAAAATGTGAAGTTACTCAAGTTTAAAAATATGGTTATTAATACAACCATATGGTAAGATATAGTTTGCATTGTAATTGTTTCAATTATTAATATATAGCTATACTTTTTATAAAAAATATATATACGATTATAGATCCAAATAATTTTTTTTCCCTTTTTGCCGTGAATTGACCCAAATAATGTTAAGTCTAAAAAGAGTTGACTATTTTCTACTCAAAATATCAATGTACTTCACATAATTGCCCGCCATTTTCATGTTCTTGCTTTGGGATTACCCTGGAAATGTTTTTATCAATAATAAAAAAAAAAAAACTTTCATTAAGATTCTATTAGGTTGAGTAACTTGCAGTTTTTGAAGTTGTCTTCAATTAACATTAAGCAAATATAATAGTCATTTTCCTAAAATGTCTTCTATTAAAAGACTAACTAAGAATCTTTGCAGGTGAAGACTCCTAACTTAAAATTTTTGAGTCCATCTTCAAATAATAACATTCAGAGAATTTTGGACAATTCGATTCCTGAAATCTCTTCTTATGTCCAAAATTTAAGAAAGTTGTGTGGAGGGTTGTGGTAATTTGAAATATCTATTGACATTCTCCATGGTTAAGAGTTTTAAGCAACTGAATTGGCTTGAGATTCGTGATTGTAAAATGATAGAAGAGGTAATACTTGTAGAAGATTCAATGGATGAGGAAAGGATGTGCAATATTTTCCTCCCTAATTTGGAGTTCATACTGCTCCAAGACATTCCGAAACTCACAAGATATTATTCTGGAAATTACTTGGAATTACCATACCTTTGGAAACTTAAGATAAGCAACTGCCCCATGTTGAAGACTTTCATCTCTAACTTTATTTTTGGAGACATGATAGCCCGTTCTAAAAATGCAAAAACCACTTGTACACTTCCTCTCTTTAACGAAAAGGTAATTTCTTCTTTTTGTTTTTCCTTTATTTTTTAGTGTTCAATATCTTGTAATGCTATTATTATTGTCTCCCCCTCATAAACTTTTACGTTTTTAAAATCAAGATGTCTTAGTACTTTAAATGTATGACTCTTTTTGAAATTGTTTAAATGCCTTTAATAAATCTTCTTTTTTTTTTGGTATTGAGAGTTATTAAAGATATTGTCATTTTTTTGAATTTATTCAAATACCTTTAATAATTTGGTTTTTTTTTGGTATTGAGAGTTATTAAATATATTGTAGTTTTTTTATTATCAATCATGACATTTTAATTGTTAACATGTCTTGATTTTTTGCAATTCTTTTACAAAATTAGATTCCAAAATTTTTCATTCCATTACACTTTGATTATGTTTCATTTTGATGCAATTGTGTAAATCTTAGGTGGCATTCCCCACATTAGAGCATTTGGTAATTGAATATGTGGAGAGCTTGAACAAGATATGGAGCAACCAACTTGAAGCAAATTCTTTTTGCCAACTAACTTTTGTGAGTGTGGTTTCATGTGAAAAGGTATTGAATATTTTCTCATTTAGTATGTTGGAAAAGCTTCAGAGACTAGACAAGCTTCAAATATGGAATTGTGATTCACTTGAAGAAATATTTGAGTCTCAAGAACTTGATGTCAGCCAACCATTACGAGCTCAAAAAGCACCTCCGTTACCTTTGGTGGAATCCGTTACAAAATTTAAATTTCCAAAATTAACACACTTGGATCTTTATGGGCTACCCAAACTTAAAGTCTTCTTCCTTCAACTGCACATTACAGAATGGCCATCATTGAAAAAATTGCGGATTTATGGATGTGACCAATTACAGATATTTCAGAACTCTCAAGCTTCCAGAGAATAAAAGAAGATGATCAACTTAAAATTCAAAATAAATATCCTCTTTTCTGGATGAGCGAGGTAAGAGTTCTAAATAATTTGCGTAGAAGTTAATTTGTGCACATGGATGCACTCACTTGATTCAAGTAAACCTTTTCTTTTGGCTTATAACATTTTCAAATTTTTTGAACTCATACATTTAATCTATCATACTTTTTCAAAATTTTATTTCCTTCAATCAATCACTTAAGAAAGACAAACTAAATTGTTTAAAAATTTTTTAGAGATAATGTATTTTATTAAACTAAGGTAATAATTAATATAAGAAACAATTTAT